ACTTGAAAATATAAATTCAGTACAATCAGAAATATTCCTTATCTTAAATCATAGCTTTATTATACGCATAATGTCCTGGAATGCATTCCCGAAAAACATAATAACAAAGACTATTATATAACTATATTCCGAAAAACCTTATAGTAACATTCAGATGGATAGCTGTGGACAGCGAATGATGCATTACAGCATTCATTTTTCATTTATTGATGTTTCCTAATGGCACTTTCTCGCTGGATTTTTAAGTTCTATGAGAAACTAGAAAGAGACACCTTCACTTCCAGTCACAAACATCAGTCTGATGTAAGTCTGGACATCAAGCTTTTTTCCAGAGCTCAAAGCACAGAGTATGTATGTAGACATACAGTCTAGCACAGGGGCGCACACACATACCAAAATCAAAAAACACTCATATAGTTGAGTATGAATGACAAAAAATTTCATTAAAAATACCATTTAACATTTAAAGGTCCAGTGGGAGGGCCTTTCAGGAGAATCTATGTCAGAAATTGAATATAATATTCATAGAATCACTTTAAAATAAGAATCATTATTATTAATTCCAGATGCAACGTGTCGCCTTCCATGGAGTCTGCCATGTTTCTGCAGTAGCCCAGAAGTGACAGACCAAAAACCTTTTTGCGTGTTTTTTTTCCCCTTAGATTGAGTTTTTATCTACAGAATGAACACAATGGGTCACCTTCCGTAGAGTCCATGTTGAACCAGTATGTTTCTGCAGGGACATAAGGGACAAAACAAACACTGGGTTCAAATTCACATTTTTTTGCTCATTTCACAGCCACCATAGTTTCTCCTTCACACTTGGAAGGAGAGGGTGAAGTGACAGAGTTGCAATCTAAAATTACACCGCTAGGTGTCACTGAATCCTACACACTGACCTTTAATGTGATTAAGAGAGGTTGGGTTAGATTAATCAGGCTTCCCAATAATGTGAACCTAGAATCTAACCCAGAACCTGAGCTCCTATTTATCAGACAGCTTAATTTAGTTGAATATAGGTGTCAGAAGATAATATGTGTGTGAAAAATAATTCAATAATTCAAATCCAAACAAAATAAAACCTGACCCAGCAGTGGGTAAGGTCACAGAAGGCCTACTCGTAAGATGCACACACACCGATACTCAACTAAATGATAAAGTTAACTGCCCAGACAGTGGGTTTTTAGGCCTCTTTCACTGAAAACAGCTGCTTGCTCTGAGTAAAAGTATGTACTATGCTTTGAGAGCAGTGAGAGGTTTCAAAACAGTAAAGAGGCTGCCGGAAAGCTAAAAAAATTGCTGAAATTTGCTGTAGAGCTCTGTAAAGCCATGGGGAGGCTTCAGATTCACTGATAATTCTTATTAGGTTCATCACTTCAAGCAACCCCTTTGACATTGTCAAACTGTTTTACATTGTCATTTGTTAAATTGTTATCATAAAACTGTCACAGCCGCTTTAAGTAAAGCATCTGAATACTTCAGTGTGTGACAGACTGCAGTGTAAGACCACTTGCTGCTTCCAAATAGAGCTGTCATTTTATTTATCTTCATAGTTAAAAACCTTAGCAGCAGTCTACTTTAATAATAAAGCAACCAATGTTTCTGATAATACTGCAGAAAGAATGGAAGCTCTTGGTATGAAATGTTCTTAATCCCATGTTTTATGTTTGTTATGTGATTGATGGTTTTCAATGTCTAGAATCTTCTTATTTGTGCACCCTTTACATGATATGTAACGTGTACATTGAATGGAAGCACTGTGGTACTGTGTGGAACTGGGAGCCTGTTTAAAACTAGCGTTGCCGCCATGCAAATGTATGCCTGTCAAGTAGCAGTTTACGTCCATGTCTTAATTCATCAGAATGAGGCAGGAAGTGAAAGGTGGAATGGATGAGGTGGAAAGATGAAAGCCCATCCTGTGCTAGTTGTTGTTAAGTGTGGCTAACTGTTTACTCATTGTATCAACATGTGTGTGTGAAATATGTAATTGCCAAATGGTCCAGGTATCCTCCTTAACCACACTCTTCCAAGAGCTTGCCATGCCTTCTCAGAATAGTCTGGTTGTAGTCTGGGTACTCGTTCATCTTCTCCCTCACACTGTTCCAAGAAATGTTCCCAGAACGAGAAGTATTCCTCTCTTGACACACCATCACTGTCCACACCTTTCTCATTTGTAAACTCCATTTTTAGATTAGCATTCAGTAGTTTTGGTTCCATGAAGATATTAAGGACATCATCAACTATGTTTACTCGTTTTAATTTCACAAGGAGTTCTTTTTCAAATGGGTCTGGTGATGCTGGAAGACTGCTTGATGATACACGTGCGTCATTCAGTGCAGAGTGCTGCAGGGTTTTTAAAAAAGGTAATTAGGTGTGATTATTGATCGATTAATCAATTGGTGAACAGAAAATGAATCAACGACTTTGACAATCAATATATCAATTAGCATGCAGAAATGAATTATGCTGTGGTTCTAGATTTTTAATACATAGAATATCTTTTGGTTTTGGATTGTTTGGATGAAAAAGTAATCTAAAAACATCAGCTTGGTGTGAGAGAACTTGGGATGACAATTTGTCATTGTTTTTGTACATTTTATAGACAGAATAATGAATAGTGAAAACTCTTTAAAATAATCAATAATGGCAGTAACATTTTTTTACAGAACTGTTAGAAATGACTCAGTTCTACACTATACCTGCATACTGTTGAAGTCATGTGGATTCCTGGGAAGGGTGGAGTCTTGATTATCAGCATCATCACCACAAACGGATCCAAAGTTTACTTCAAAGTCCTCAAGAGATGCTTGGATGGCAAGGGCAAGAGGGGAATCCAACTCGTCACTTAACAACTGGTCTGCATCTTGATTTGACACAGGCATTAAACACTCGTCTTCAGATCCATGCCTGCTTGTTGATTGCCGAGTATGATTGCCAACATCATCGGAAGATGGTGGATGCAGGACCTTTGTGTTGCTCATCTCAGGAGTTGCTGGTCTTGATTGACTGATTGGTTCTCCTCTCTGTTGATAATTAAATGAAAAAAACAAAACAAACATTATTACCTTATCTTTGTTTTTGCATCATCTGATCAAAGACGTCATGTGTACTATCACATTCATTAAAACATCTTGCACCTGAGCAGATTGTTTTGGTATATGCATATTGGTTAATGTGGCATTGAACTCAAAACCTTTTGTCCACTTCCATCATCGTAGCTGCATTTAAATTTTATATGGATTTACATTTGTTGTTTGCAACAAAATCATGGTCTCTTAAACCCTATCTCTGTGTCCTCACAGACTTCACGAGTTTGCAAGTTTTGAATTTTATCTTTGACATTATTTTTTTGTTTCAATTTTGTATTTGATATTTTGATTGATCAATTTTTGTTTCAATTTTAATTCAATTCAATTCAAAGTATTGTTTGAACATTTTGGCACAAATTAATCTCCATACAACACAAGTTCCATACAGTATATCACAAAGTGGGGTCCATAAAAATGCAATACTGGGGCTTACTTTTTCATGGTTTTCCTGCATTGAGCCACTGGGTGCTGGATCTAAATCAGTGGAGCTCTCTGGATGATCCACTCGATGATCAGTTCCAGTCCTCCAGTGATGACGTCTCCTGGTTTTGTTCCTCAAGGATCGTCTCGGCATTGTCCTAGTCTATAAAAAAATCAGCAGATCAGCAAATTATAGGCTTATATATAATACGATTGTCCAACTGTTCAAAACAAGTCTTTCTGAACTTATTGTGATTGAACATGCACATAAGTGGAGAGAGAAGTGGAGCAAATATGTATAGAAAATTGTATTTACATCTCTTGACCTCTTGCAACTCAACTATCACCCCTGATTCAGCAGATATATATTATATATATAGCTTCATATTCCTAATAGATTTGACATTGCGTTAAGACAATAGATTCATCCTTAAAAATCATTGATTCTAGTTGTTGAATTTCATGAGAAGAAAGCCAGATAAACAACATGGCTGTAAGACTAAGATTATTTTGGCCAGATCCACAAAGAATGAATTGCACCTACTAATTGCACCAGAATTGTGCAGCATTTGCATCCACAATCTGCCCCGTTTAATGCCGTCTAATTGAATATACCATATTTAGATTGAAGTCCGATACATCTTTAGCCTTATCTTTTATCACCATTATTTAGCCTTGGAGGTTGTGTAGATGCGCAGCATTCGTAGCTTAGTCTGCTCGTGCAGCTGGCTCACTGTGACTTCAGGGGATACTGCATTGTGACTGTAATCACGAATATCAAACTCAAAGTCTTCCACTGGTCCTTTGGATGAATATCCATTTGGAAAAAAACAAGCCCTTGCCCGTCTCTAGCAGTTCACCCATAGTTGCTGAATTCTGGACTGACGGGTGCCGTGTTCCACCTCCATTTCTTGTTTTGATCTGGTGATAAGTGCCGTTATCAAAGTGGAGCCATCCCATTTTAATCTGCAGGGTGGCTTTGACTGCATGTTTATTGCCAACAATACCAGAGCCTTCTGTGTCTCTGTTGGCAGGAGTATTCCGTTGTTCCCCGAGTCTCTTACTCTCTGCATGAGAGCGGACTTCACTGTCTCAACCCTCCTGACTTTTCGTTTGTCACAGTTCTTTGACTTTACCTTATCATCTTTTAGTTGGTTGATGACACTATCAGGTACATTTTGCGTTGCCTAGAGGCATACGTACAGGAAGCACAACTGCCTGTGCTTAACCTAAGGTTTCTCGTGAGCACGAGAAACGTTTCACTTTTTTTTTTTTTTCCCCCATGTCCCTTAAGGGGCTCCGTATATTTGAGTTGGTTCTGTAAGTGCACAATATTGTGTTGGTTAGCTTTTATTGTTCTCTAAAGTCTAGTTTTTATTTTTAGAGTGCTACTAGAATGATTTTTCACAACTACATTAACCTTGTAATGAGCAAGTGTCTTATTCAAATGAAATCAGTACTTTATTTATTGTGACAAACAAATATGCAAAATGCAAAAAACATTCTTTTATTTAAGTATTGTTTAATCACATTTGGAAGTAAAAAGAATTGTCAAACAATCTTTTCATGGAAAAAAATCTAATGTGCTGTATAAAAGATGCATCCTGGATTCTCTGGCTCAGGAAAAGAGCAAGAGACCCTGATGAAAAAGCTTTGATCCTTCAGACCATTAATTGTTTTCTGTTTCCAGAGACTTAATGAAAGCCAGAAAATAATTAATGAAATTATAGATTCATATACACTTGGGCACCCTGGTGGTCAGAATGTTCTGCAGCCCCATAACAACAGACTGTGATGTACTGTGTGTACTGACACCTTTCTACCTGAACCAGCATTAACTGTTTCTGCAGTTTGAGCTACAGTGGCTCGTGTGTTGGATCGGACCACACGAGCCAGCCTTCGCTCCCCACGTGCATCAATTCCTCTATTATTTCTGTGGATGTTTTGACTGCATACCTTTCTAATGTAGAATGAGATCAGAGAGTGAAGGCTCTGTGAATATACCTTGTGCTTATATTTCAAATAATCTAAACTTAAAATATAACAATTTAATTTAGCTTTCTTCACAGAATTTAATGAAATTCAGATATATAGGCATGCTTTGGATAATTTTACATTTTTCTTACACCCATTAAAATCAACAGTTGTGGGGGTCCTGAGCCCCAGGTTGGGAACCACTGTATAAGTATAAAAACACACATCAGTATTTTCACTTATCATTGTCTCATTACAGTATGTTGGCATCATAGGAGTCAGGCTTTAATATGTGAAATGTAACAATAAGCTTAATAGCTTTTTTAAGCCAGGGGTAGAAAGGGGCATAGATGATTGGGTTTAGAAAGGAGTTAAAATACATCAGAAAAATCATAAAGACCTCAGTTGTAGAACCAATCAATATGTCAAGGCCAGTGAGAGACAATACAGAAAGTAACAGAGCAGAAACATGACTATAAGAACACCAAGCGTCCTGGCTGCTTTTATCTCAGATTTCTTAGCTTTCAGTCATTGAACGCCTGAGTATGGACAGTCACAATGTGGGACTTCATGGCACGAGCCTGAGAAACAGCCACCACAAAAACTTCATTTCCAAAATAATTTCCCCCTGGGATTATTGAAGTATTTCTGATTCTGATTCTGATTTGATCGACTTTGTGTGTGAAAGGGTGAATGTGGCATATAGTGTAAAAGCACTTTGAGTGGTCGGAAGACTAGAAAGGCGGTATACAAGTACAGGTCTAATTACAATCCATTTTCCTTAACACAGAAAAGGCCTACTTTCAGTCACTCCACAGTGTCTGTTTACAGTATGTTGGTCTCACAAGAGTTAGGCTGCAGTATCTGAAGTGTAACAATGAGTTTAATAGATTTTCTAAACCAGGGATAACAAAAGGCATAGATTAGAGGATTCAGACAGGAGTTAAAATAGAACAAACATATTACAAAGGCAGCAGATGAAGCATTGAGTAAGGTGTCCGGGCCTGTAAGTGTGACACAAAAATATGGGCAGGTACATATTAGAAACACAACTATAACAACACCAAGAGTCCTGGCTGCTTTCATTTCAGATTTTTTAGCAGTTACTTTCACTGATTTCTGGAGTGTGACAGCTGCAATATGTGACCGCATGGCACGAGCCTGAAACACAGCCACCACAAAAACTCTTATATACAGAACTACAATGACAGTAATGGGAACAATGAAGGACAAAACAAGATCTGTAATTCCTGCAGCATAATCAATAACAATCACACACTCTCCAAAGCAGGAGTTATACCTGCCTGGTTGTTGCAGGTTATCTTTCAGCATCAGACCATGACAGAAAGCAGAACACATCCAACACATACAAATACAGACTTTTACTCTTTTTTGAGTGACTTCGGAAGGGTAATGTAGAGGGTCACAAATAGCCACATAGCGGTCAGCTGATATGAGCACCATGGTTCCTACTGAGGACGAGGTAATAATGTAGTCCAAAACAGTATACACAACACACATGAGGTCACCGAGGAACCAGCAGCCGTCTATGAGGGCAACTTGAAAGGACATGAGGAGGCCCACAAAGAAATCTGAGACAGCCAGGGAGAGGAGGAGGAAGTTGGTGGGGGTGTGGAGCTGCCTGGAGAGATAAGAGAGCAATGTACTTAACACTGTTTGTAGTATTATTTGTAATATTATCATTATGGCCGATAGTTGCCATGACTGAAACACAAAGACATATTTTAGAAACATGAAACTTTTCATTCACACTCTGTGCTTAAGCTGTCATTTTCTGCACAGCTACCAGTTTTATAAATTGATCAGATATTTGCCCACTTGAAGTGTGAGATGGAGATGATGACCAACAGGTTGAGAGTCACAGTGAGCACAGATATGGAGGACAGGATGATGTAAGTGACCATGGATTCAGAGTAAGGACGCATGGTCTTCCTGCAGGAGGAGTTGAGTTGAGGAAAGCAGAGTTTAGCTCCTTCCAGCGTTTCCATCATTAGACAGAGGAAATGAGAAACATAACTAATTTATCTCTTTTCCTCCTCCACATCACTCCTCCCACTTTCCCTTTAGTGACATTTTTTAATAGCGCTGACAGAATTTCTCTCTCTCAAATTACTTTTTCATCTACTTTTAACTGTAATTTGTCTCCCCTTGCCATATTCTCCTTTCTCCTCAACATGTCTCCAATGACGATGTACATGCTGCTCTAAAACTAAATTATAGTGCTGCCAAACGATTAAAATATTAAATCACGATTAATCGCATTAATGTCATAGTTAACTTGCAATTAATATATATATTTTTGGGGGGCTTTTATTGTCTTTATTATAGAGACAGCGGAAGATAGACAGGAAAGGGGGTCAGAGTGAGGGGATGACACGCAGCAAAGGGCCGCAGGTCGCATTCGAACCCGGGCCGCTGCAGCAAGGACTCAGCCTCGGTACATGGGTTGCCAGCTCTACCCACTGAGCTATCCCGGCGCCCGGTGTTGTAGTTTTTCTAACGTTACTAGTTGCAACAGCAAGTGAAAAAAACTACAAAGTGTGCTAGGCCAAAAAGAACGTTAATCTCGCGATAAAGAAATGTACGCTGTTAAAATGGGTTTGCGTTAACGCCGTTAATAACGCGTTTAACTGATAGCACTACTAAATTATAATTCATTTGAAGCCCTGTTCTTAGTGTTGCTCACCCAACCTGGAAAACACTGCAGCCAGTTCTGTTTGTTATGGTGTAGCACGCTCCTGGACCATACTCTGATTTTTTAAATTAAGTTTAGTCCTTAAAACATAAAATAATTATTGTAGGTGATTTTAATATTTATGTGGATGCTGATAATGACAGCCTTAGTAATGCGTTTATCTCATATTTAGGCAAATTGTTTTGTCAGACTGTAAATAAACCCACCTATTGTTTTAATCACACTCTTGACCTCGTTCTATCACATGGCATTGATATTGAACATTAATAATCTTCCCACATAATCCTTTTTTATCACCATTACTTAATTACTTTTGAATTCTTATTACTACACTACAGGCCATTTTGCAAAACTTCCTACATCAGATGTCTGTCTGACAGTGCTGTAGCTACATTTAATGTAAAGATTCTATCTGTATTCAATTCAATCCTATGTCTCAATATAACAGAGGACTCCTATAATAACCATAGCCCCTCCCAAATTGACCATCTTGCTAATAGTGCTGCAGGCGCACTCCAAACAACACTCAACTCTATTGCCCCTCTAAAAAAGAAGATATTAAAACATAAACATTAATATTAAAATAAGCTAATAAAATATTAATGGATGGAAGTTAATGGATCAAAAAATAAACAAGTTTGTTACATTCATTGTTGGATTCTTTTTAATGTATGTTACCCTTTTAAGTGTAAGTGCCAACACTGCAACACTTCAGTTTGTGTTTTATGTTTCCTTTTTCAGTTTAGGTTTGGTTTTCAATGCCACAATTTTTTTTCAATGCTAAAATATAAAGTCACTGTCCTGATTACATATATTTTTAGGACAGCCATGACCAAGAAAAGGAAGCAGGGGGAGTACATATCCTGGTTACTATTATGCCATGAACATGGTTCATCTCATGATCATAATGAAAAAAACGGCCTGAAAATTGTTCAAAAGTGAATAAGATTTTTTCAACATTATAATGTGTAGTTAGGACCTGTTACACTGTAAAATGAAATAATTTAATCAATTTATTATTAGTGTTTTTAAAGTAAACACACAAAAAAGAAAGAAAGATAAAGACAAAATCTAAAACTGTACAAAAATGATATTTACAATGTGCAGGACAGAAAAACCAACTGGAGTGTATTAAAGTAATGCATATCTACAGGGTGGGTTTAAGAGTCAGTGTCAGTGGGGGTTCCCTGCCTTGTTAATGAGGCCAGCTGCAGACGGGAAGAAACTGTTCTTGTGGCCACGGTCTTTGTTTGGTAGCACACATTATGGTTGAAAGCTAACGTTAGCTTGTCAGCAGCTGCAGGTGTTTGCCCTCGCTCCCCGACTAACGTTACTAACGTTACCGACCTGCCCGCGGTGGCTAAGCCGACCTGCCGCTGCTAGGCACTCACCTCGCCCGGCTAGACGAGACTAGACTAGGTCGGCTTAGCCACCGCGGGCGGGTCGGTAACGTTAGTAACGTTAGTCGGGGAGCTTTCAACCATAAAGTGTGCTACCAAACAAAGACACATACTCACCTCTAGTGCCGCTGACGGCCGCCGACTCCAATGTGCTTCTCCATGCTCCCCTTGGCTGCACTGTCAGAAACTTCTGAGAGTTAACGTAAATATAAATACATCCCTCCTCCCACCGTCATCACGTTGATGACGTGCTGAGAGCGGGACTGCAAGCTCAACATACACGTCCCAAACAGATAAGATCACAACAATAGCATGTCTTCATAAACCACCCTTGTTCATCTTCATACAATATGTTGGGAAGTTGCAGTAAATATCAATACAATATGTTCTATATCCCTTTGTGTTGTGTCTCTCCTTCGTCTGTTAAGATAACTGAACATTTTGTGAGTCTTGAGGCATTGCCAGCCTTTAAATCTCATTTGTAAATGCTTAATAAGCCATAGATAGTGCTCACTTTAGATGAGCTCATGCAAAATACTTAATAAACGAGTAGTAAGTGCTTTGTAACTGTGAATTCCTGCATTAATAACTGTTTATAGGCCATCATTAGAAAATGAATTTGTTGTGAGTTTTTATAGAACATCTGCTAACACAGTCACTAATCATTAATACATGTCTGAATAGTGGATGTGCAAGTGCATGCAGAAATGTACAGTACAATGAAGAGTAAAACATTTATAACTGTGATTGTAAACCACATAGTAATGACTATTTACAGCAGAAACATGCTTTATAAATGATGAATTCAGTATTTACTAATCCATAACTAATGTGCTTATCAATGATGAATAAAACATTTTAACTGTGTTTATAAACTACATACTGTGTATTCATGCGTTATAAATTATGAATTCAGTATGTATTCATGCTTAACTAATTTCGTAAATAACTTCGTCCGTGTTATCTGCCACGGGAACTTTCCAGTGTTGTCGCCATCACTGTCTATATTCCTCACAGTGGTCTTCATCATCACCATCACTGTTTACATTTATGATGTCTTATTTATTCTCCTGTACAGCACTTTGGTCAACTTTGGTTGTTTTTAAAGAGCTTAACAAATAAAGTTGGATTGGATTGGATTAACTAATGCTTAATAGTGTGTACTCATTATAAAGTGTTACCGAAGATAAAACGAGGGAAAGAATAAATTAAAAGAGAGATGACAGATGAGAAAACGGACAAGGAGATGTTCAAGCCTGTAGAGGTGGGTTTTGAGCAGCTGCTTAAAACAGTCCACAGATTCAGTGAATCTGAGGGATTGGGGGAGACTATTCCACAATGTTGGGGCTAAAACAGCAAAGGCACGGTGACCTTTAGTTTTACAGTTAGAGTTAGCTAACTGTAAACGGTTTAACAAAGCTTGACTGAGGCACGTGTAGAGGGAGTTACAGTAATTTAGATGGGAGAAAATGAAACTGTGAATTAATTGTTCAAGATCGCAGGAAACTTTAGATTTTTGCTATATTTCGTAGCTGCAGAAAACAAGACTGGACAAGTTTTGTGACATGGTCAAATGTCATACCCAGATTCTTAGCATTGGGTTTGATATAGTGCGTAGTGGTCCAATAAACTGATCAACTGCAGTGACAATGTTTTCAGGGCCAAATATAATTATTTCATTTTTGTCAGGATCTAAGTGGAGAAAATTAAGAGACATCCAGTCTTTGGTAGCAGCTAAGCACTTGTGGAGAGAGAAAAGTTGATTCAGGTTATTGGGTTTCGCAGAAAAGTAGATCTGTGTATCATCGGCATAACAGTGGTATGAAATGTCATGGAAGCGGCTGAAGAAATGACCCAGAGGCAGCATGTACAGGGAGAACAGAACTGGACCAAGAACTGACCCCTGAGGGACACCACATAGCAGGGGAGCAGAGGAGGACACATGATTATTAATGCAGACATTAAAGACTCTATTAGACAAACAGGAATGAAACCAGTTTAAAGCTGTACCAGAAACGCCAACCAAGTTCTGTAATCTATCCAGTAAAATGGCATGATCGATGGTATCAAAGGCTGCAGTCAGATTGAGAAGAATAAGGATGGAGCTTTCACCTTTGTCAGCATGCATAAGGATGTCATTAGACACTGAGTAATGCTGTCTCGGTGCTATGTTTTTGGCCAAAATCAGATTGGAATTTGTCAAAGATTCTATGACCTTCTACCAGCTGCAGGAGCTGGTCCGCAACAATGTTTTCAAATATTTTAGATAAAAGGGAAAGTTTTCTAACTGGTCTGGATTGAGAGAGGATTTTTTAAGAAGTGGCTGAACACTGGCAATTTTAAAGAGCTCAGGTACAGACCCTGATGTGAGAGAGGAATTGATGATAGAAAGCAGGCTAGGACCTAAGACAGGGAGTATGGTTTTTAAAAAAGTTGTAGGAATTGTGTCACAGGGACTGGAGGAGGGAAGCATATTATCAACAGTTTTTGAAAGGATCTGTAGAGAGATAGGAGCAAAATCAGACAGTAAAATAAGACGACTGAATGTTTTAGGGGGAAGAACAGTGAGGGGGAAAATGAGACCTTAGACCATCGATCTTGCCAATGAACAAAGACAGGAATTTTTCACAGTCAGCAGGAGAGGAGGCATGGATAGCAGGAGGAGATGTCAGATCAGAAAAGTAGGCAACTCGCGCATCTTTAATAGTCTGGTTCAAATTAAACAGTACTACTCATGTAGAGGTGGTGGACACACTATAATGTCATTATACAAGTGGTACACATCATCTGAAAGCTCGGAACCTTAGGATTAACTTTAGTTCATCACTGTCAAGTTTTTCTAGTCATAAATCTATAATACACATTGGGTTTTGTTTAGACCTCTATTTGAATACCCCATTAAAACAGTAAGACCATGAGGAACTGCTCCAAGGTTGTTGTTTTTTATCAGAAACCTTTGACATTTGGAGATTATTGTAAGAATTTCATTTTTTGGCCATTGGATGACAAGCACTTTCTGTTCATGAAGTTGCTCAGAAACCCCCTTATTGTCAAAATAGCTAGGAAAGCCATCCATCTTTTGGATCCCCACATCCTCTTGTGGTTGTACAGTTTTATGAGGCTGTGATTATCCAAGAGGTCAAACACACACCCACAGTACCCTGCAAAATTGATGCACTTTTCTGTGTTGCTTGCAAGAGTACATAATCTGCACAAGCAGCAGGTGATTTAAATGTCTGAGGACAGACTGAAATCCATTTGGCGGGATGGAAATTTGGAGTTTTGGAAAATGGTGCCATCCCAATCTCAAACAAGCAAACTCTATCTACTGCCATGTTGTCAATGTTTGGTCAAATCTTTTGTTCCTATACTCTGAAACATGTGAAATCCAAGCACTGATCTGTACTCCCTGACACATGTGAAGCACCATTTCAAAAGGATTATGGAAAATGATCTGAGTAAAGTAAATTAATAGTGTGCTGTTGGTGTATCTTACTGTAATTTGGAGTTTATGTGTGTTTGCCTTTAAGGGAGCTTGTGTAAAATGTGATGTTACTCTCTAAACCAGTAAGTATTTTTTGGTGCTGAGTTTGTGACACTCTTAGACTTTGCATGTGTCAGAGTTCTTCCCTGGAGGTAAAATTCATAATAGAACTGTCAAACTCTTCCTTGCCCAGTTACATTCCAGACCAGATCTCCTGTTTCAAGCTGAACATTTGAGCTTTAGGATATTTTTCTTTTGTCTTTGGCTTTTTTTCTTTTACAGACCACATGTCTACGCAGTAGGGCGTTCACACAGAATATGCATTTGAAAACTAAATATAGGCACAACACAGATTCTATTCAGAACCAAATAAATGCTGACTAATCTGACCCTGAACCCAAACTGTATCTAACAATTACTAATTAATATGTTGGCAGATTTTTTTAATGATGGCCATGTCAATACTATTATCTATGCTGTATTATATGTTACAAGATTTGTATCAAATATAAGACATTTTTGAGCTGTGTTTAAATTGCAAAAAATAATAAATGAATAATAGATTTTAACACAGGCCAAATAAGTCAGCTGACAAAGTAGCTGTCTCCTTCAAAATGTGCAGAATTTTATAATGGCGGTAATCAGGCATTGATAAGTTTGACACCTAGACTTGTCAAGCTGTAATCACATTCTGCATCAGTAGCTGTCAGTTAATTACAGAGTGTTTGGAAACAGGAATTTTCCATGACCGAAGCCAGTTTGGGAAGACAAAAGGTCAAAAGAATATGTGAGAATGTCTGTTGGAGAGTAAACAAGATTGTACACATACAGTATATATAAACGGAGACAAAGTGCTGGCTCCTCCACACAGAGAGGCAAATCAGTGCTAAAGCATCCAGTGATACTTCTCAGACACAGAGCTGTTTGGCGTCCCTGGTGTCCGACAATTCGTCCAGAGGGTAAGAAAACTTGCAAACATTTTTTAATTATTCTGAAAATAAAATGTTGGGGTTCTTTTTTGGTTAGAAATTTTCTTACTCCACTAGGAAAATAAACATGCTTGAATATGTTTGCCACATTATTATTAGTATTCCTGCAGAATCAGACATACTGTAATAATCCCGTGGGGAAATTACTTAAAGAAGAAGTGTCCTTTGCATCTGTGATCTTCTGCAGATGACATTTCGGTCATCAAAGATATAGCTGTTAAATAAATTCCCTACTAGTTCTGACATATGGTCCAAAATGAGTGAGGTGTAGGCAAGTGTGGGGAACATCAACACATTTAATCTGCTCCCACCTAACATTAATAATTAATGTAGAAGGAAAGGCTCATTAAAGGCCCATGTCTGCTGAACGTTGGTTTATACAAAATGGACAGCTGGCTGTTTATTTATTTAAACAGAAACTATATATTTAGGTGTTGCTGTGGCTCCATAGGGATGTTAATGTCAGTTGGTTTGTCTATCTCTTAGTCCAGGGCTCAGCAACCTTTACTATCAAAACAAGCGTCTTATCCCCTGGGGTAATAAAGTACTCATTTAGACTAAAATATTTTATCTTTGTTAGCATTAAAATATAGTTTATTAAATAGAGTTAAGGCTGGCACATTGAAAATTAAGAAGTTGAATTTTTAAATGCAGACGCAAGATTTTCTTAAAGGTTTAATAAAAAGACCATGACCTCTCGTCAGACCCAAGGGACGAAAAGATGATGACATAGATTTGTTTTTAGTATAGTGTATGTACAGAGACTTGTGGTATAGTATGTAACCTTTGTCCTGTCTTTTATGTATATATTCATTTTTTTGAAACTTTTTGCCGCCAGTCTTGGCCAGGACTCCCTGGGAGAAGAGTTACTGTAACTCAATGGGACTTTTCCTGGTTAAATAAAGGTTAAATAAATAAATAAATAAAAATTTAGTTTTGCTCTTTTTCCTACTTTGCCCTTGCTGTCTTAAGGCCACTCACAGCAGGGGCCAAAGTAGAGGGGTGACATTGGGTGGCAGCTGCCCCCCCTTAAAGAATACCTGTCCACCTCAATTTGTTGTCAAATGCTGTCAAATTGAACATATTAATTTTCAAATGTTAAAAAATAAATTACAGTACATTTTCTACTAACTTCAGGCTTAAGTTCAATGAAAAAAGGCATATATTTGGTATAATATCTGAGATTTTGATAAAAAACAAGGTATTATTTTCTAATGCCACCTTTAGATATTTCTATTCAACAATTTACGAATGTGTGATTTTTTTTTAGTTCAAGTATCTTAATTTGGGGGTTTTACCAAGCAAATATTGATATATCTGATTGTTAAATTAACAAATATATGTTCCACCCCATGAATATCTCTCTAGAACTGCCCCTGACTCCCAGAAACTAATTTTCTGATTGGAAAAACTGTAAATTATACCTACTCCACCTGCGTTTCAGGTCCCTGTCAACCAACCGCCAGCATGCTCTGTTTCATACTACTCCTGGCTGCACTTATCCTGCCAACAGGTAAGAAGGCTTTACAACTAAAACGCAGTCATACTTCGTCGTATGTTGAACTTACCCTACTGCATACAACCAGTTTAGGCTCCAGGAATTTCTTGTGTCCTCACGATATAAAATAGCATGGCACATAAAACGTAAAATTCCGATTTGTTGTTTTAACAATTCATTTTTTGTACGGATTGAACAAACACACTATCATGTGTTGTAAGCAGATTTTGTTACCAAAATTTAATCTTGGAGCCAGGCTAACTGCTTCCCCCTGTTTCCAGTCTTTATGCTAAGCTAAGCTAACCAGCTGCTGACTCAAGCTACATATTTAGACATTTCAGAGTGTTATCAATTCTCTCTCGCAATTATCAGTGTGAAATGCATTTGTGTGATCTAGGTGTCACTCTTTGTTTATTGGTGTAAGAACACATATTTTGTGCACAAAGCATGTGTCTCCATATCTTTAGGTACTGATGCAACAAACCAGACATTTACCAATTCTGGGGAGATGAACATCACCTCGTGCCCAATCACCTATTATGGCCAGAAATATTACAAAGTTTATGTAAGTAATATAAACTCTAATGTTTAAGATATATGCAGGTCTTTGCACCTACTGACTGATGTTCTCAAGTTTAAACCAGTTAAGTGAACAAAATTCTCAGACACACTAGCTAATTTTTGTCTCCGTGCATCCAATGTAAAGCTAGTTAAAGGGCCTTTGATGTTTAGATATGTGCAATACTGCTGCAAGCCTTAGACTCTGTATTTGGTCTTTTCAGTTGCATAAATAACACAATTCAGTACTTGGGCACTGACATGAACATGGTGCTAGTTCAGTCTTGCCAGTGAGTCACAAAATGTGACCAATATGTATCTCTTTCAGTATGTTTCAGAAGTTTTTATGGCTAGATGACATACATTATGGTAAATGGTAAATGGACCTGTACTTGTATAGCGCCTTTCTAGTCTTCTGACCACTCAAAGCGCTTTTACACTACGTGCCACATTCACCCTTTCACACACATTCACTCAGTGATGTCCATCGAACAGAAACTAACATTCATACACATTCACACAGCAGCATCGGGAGCAATTTGGGGTTCAGTATCTTGTCATGTGGCACCAGGGGCTGGGGATCGAACCCAACCTTCCGATTTAGGAACGACCCGCTCTGCCTCTGAGCCACAGCCACCAGGGTGCCCAGGAGGTCATAATGTTATGGCTGATCGGTGTATATTGTATACACTGTGATGGATGACTATAGAAAACGGTGTAAAGCAAGAATTTCTTGTTGTACGTGTGTTGCACGTAGTTGTTGGATGGCAAGAAGCCAGACTGTTCTCCTTTAGAACAACTCATGACCAAATTTGGATTTCCTCCTCTATGACAAATGTATCACCTGTAAGGTTGATATGGTTCCAGCTCTCACATGGTTCATGCAGAGACAAAGACGTGGCTCCAGAATGAGAGAAAACAATGTTTTAAAATAATTATTGAAATTAACATACAATTAAACGTCATTAAAGATCCAGTGTGTAACATTTAGGAGGATCTATGGGATGTTAGAAATGGGATACAATATTCATAGGTTTGTTTTCATTAGTGTATAATCACCTGAAAATAAGATTTTTGTGTCGTTTCCTTAGAATGAGATGTTTTTATCTATAGAAGGAACGGGTCCTCTTCTCGGAAGTCTCACCACTAGATGCCACTAAATCCTACCCACAGTTTTTTTAAATTACATATTAATAATTTCAAGTAACAAATTTCAACTACATAAATGTATAAATAAACCTTTTCAAGATTAAACTATTCTTCTTACAATGATTTACTCGTTTTATCCCTGTGATTTTTGAACAGGTGGCCTTCAATGCTAACATATTTGCAGTTTGCTTCAATGGCTCATACAAGCCTGGGATCAAAAATGACTGCATTTTGATGTCTGGGGGGTCAGCTGACAGAGGTGACCTGGCAGTTCTGACAAAAGAAATACCCACTGGCTCCGGGATTCATAAGCTTCTGCCAGACATTAAGAATGCTGGGAAATGTGTGAACATAATACCTTTAAAAGACAGTCAACAATCTCAAGTGAGTGTTTTTCAATTTCATTTCTGTGGATTGTTTTCATTTCATTTTAGTCAGTTGTTTTTTGTTTTGTTTTTTAATGAAATAATACATACTATGTAATAAGAAGGGATATTTTAAATCATAGCCTGTTCTGAAAGCTTAATAGTCTCCCTGTCTTCTCCATTTCCTGTTGTCAGATTGAACAAGTTGAACTTGGAAACTTTGGGACACAAGCAATTCTGGGGATCAAGACATATGCTGGATACACCAATGTTGATGTTGTAAGTAATACTGTATTTAGAGAAATATGGATGATCTGTTACATTTATTTTTGAGAGTGTGATGTGAGTTGGTGGATAGTGAGGCAGATCAAGAGCTATGTCCCAATTAAGGGCCTCAATGTATATATATATATACATATATATGTAGTTACTATCTGATTACGTTATCCGGATTACATCTAATCAGTTACTACCCAACAGTGGTAGGGCTAGCTGCATGGGCTGCTGTCTGAAGACTTAAAGTTTAGTTTAGTTTGGTTACAAGTTTTTGCTGTAGTTCACTTTTGTGTTTCCCAGAGTCTTGTTTGTGTTTTAATCTTTCCATAATAATTATTTTATCTCAGTTATAAACTTAGACAGTTACTATATCTTTTTGGCACTTTCTAGGAGGCAGATTCACAAGTCAATGGCCTTACAGTTTTTAAACAGAAATTCCACACTAATGAAACAAATAAGGGTGTCCTAACAGACGTGAGTGGATGCAGACTCTCAGGTGAGTAAATCCAGTGATTCCTAAAGTACAATCTTAGGCCTCAAAAGCAAAACAGGATAATTCGAAATTGCTGTTGATTGCCTTACAGTTTAAACTATCCTTTCCCCAACACCTAGGTTTTGTTTATAAGACAAATACGACAGTTAAGGACCCAAACATCTGCTCTACTGTAAACTGTAATGTAAGTGGAGTTGCTACTGCTGTCAGTGATTGTGGCCCCATGGAGCTTTGCCAGGGAAATGGAAGGTAAATATTTGAAGACATGGTACTAAGGAAAAACTTGATAAGGATTTTTGGTTCTACTTCGAGGGACTGTATGCTAAGTTCATTACATAATTGCTAACACAATATTTAACCAAATACTTTTAACAACTAAGCTTATGGGTAGTGCAATTTTCAAATAAAAATGTACAGAAAACATATGGAAAAAATGACATTTCAGCTATCCTGTTAGGGTCCTGTGAGCACTGAGCTCTTGGCCTTGGACCACTGTTGTTGCTTTGAACAGTGTTTTTACTCTGCTACAAAAATGTTTATAGTTTCTATATTTTATTTTATTTTTATCTTAAGTGCTTCTAGTTTTTTGTCTTTACCAAAACTGATGGTGTTATTTTCTGTCTGTACCTGTCTCTCCCCGTCTGTTTCAGTTGCATCTTGAACACCATGTGTACTGTGACCGGCTCCACTGTCATTGATTTCATTGGCAGAGTCCACTCTGTCCCGGACAGGTGTGGGTACACTCTGATGAAGCCCTCATCAATCCCAGACTTTCAGGTGCTGGGGGTTTTCCAGGAAAGACGCCGTAAAGATGTTAGTTTTTTGGACAGTGTGATACTGCAGTTGGGCACAGAAGGTGTTCAGATTTTCCTGGAACAAGGTGGCAGAGTTCAGGTAAGTCAACTGCTGCCACAATAGCTCTGTTCATGTATTAGTGTGTCAAATAATGTTGTTACTTTCAGAAGTGACCACATGTTTTAGATGTCATCATAACTGATGTTCAGTCACTACAGGCAGGGGCTGATTAAGGTCATCTACCCATTTGTGGAGCCCCTTACTATTGCATATTATTTCCAACAAGTGTCTCCAACACCTTATCACATCATGTAGTAGTTATAAAACTACTATAGTACAATAAAGGGCCATTTACAGAAGCTAAGCAGTGTATTACTTCCATTCAGACACTAGAGGGCAGACCACAGCACTCTGTGGTCTGTGCCAAAAATACAGTGACAGCTTTGTACATGAATTTGTTGATATCTGCCCCTGCTGAGAACATGGTTTTTGTCTATTTGTGATGTTTAAATAAGTGTGTTACGTTGTTCCTCTGCCGTGATGCAGCTGAATGACAGCGTGTTGAATCTCAACGCCACAGCTCAGGTGGTCCACGGTGTGGAGCTCTCAAAGGACCAGACAGGAGTGACTGCTAAGATATCAGCTTCCAACCACACAGTTTCTGTCCACTTTGATGGCCACACCACATTAATCCACATGACAGGTGCACAAAAGTTAAAGGTGATCTAAAAGCTGTGAAAAAATTGTGGGTCATATATCCCTCTCCCCTTCCTCATACATAGAAAATTCCTCCACATATTTATTAGAGTAATGGCAGTTGGAATTGTTTTCCTGGACAATGGCAGCTTTCTCCTTACAGATGAGAAAAATGACAGTAAAGGCCTTCTATCCCCAAACTGATTAGGCCTCTGCTCAGGTTAAAGGTGAGCAGAGCTATGCTAGGAATTGGTGTAGTGTCAAATTTGTCCAGCCCCTAAACAGATAAGACAGAGGTAACAAGATTGTTAGAGAGAGGTCTTTCAAGCACAGTCTTTACACACCCACACAGTCCTGGGAAAACTCTAATCAGCCTAAAATAATTCAAAACAATTGTGTGGGTTAATTATTGATGTACATTGTATTTCAAGTGTCCGCTCAGGTTTTTTAAAAATGTAAATCAATACCACATAGGGTTGGGCAATATCATTGAATTTGGTTTAAGTTATAACAGGTCCAGAATGACATATATTTATTTAATTAAACTTTATCAGAAGTTTCGTTGAGATTAAGATGGACCAGCATTGAGTGCGCTGCTCTTTGTGTTCTCTCCCTAAACTGTCCAGGACCAAGTGCAGCATCCGTGCAGGGTTTATGTGGTAATTACAACAGGTCTGTTAGTGAAGAGCAGGTCTCTAAACACAGTGCCAGCGGGTAAGACCTCAATTACTCATGCTCATTTGAATGAATGAATGAATATACTGTATTTTTAGTATTAAGTTGTTGGTCAGTCTTTGATTTTCTTGTTCTTTGTTGCCCATAGCTGTGAGATGCAGTATAATGATACTGCTGATAGTACAATCAACTGCAACACTACAACTGAATGGTAAACACATTTTAACGTTCTTTTGATTTATAAACAGGCAACATTAACCTCTGTAGCGTGCTTCATCACATTTATTATGTGCTGGAAAATAAACTCACATTATCTTGTTTATTCTATGTGATAACTTTGATGACTGAACTTTCATGTCACATTTTCACAGGTGTAATATCCTGAAGCACCCACCCTTCACTACTTGCAACATCAACCCAGAGCCCTTCATAACTGCTTGCACACGCACTTTGTGCAAATACCCTACAGTGGATGGTCTCAAGTGCCAGTTCTTGGAGGCCTACGCCAGGGCCTGCAGCCAGCAAAACAATGTCACGGTGGAGAACTGGAGGTCAAACACCAACTGCGGTGAGGATGTCTTTCAGTATCTTTTATTGTGTTTCAAGATGACCTTATAGGCCTGATATCAACTCCTACATTGTGCTGGATAATAAGACCTTGTTTATAGCACCTTCCATCTGTAGATATTTGTATTTAGTTTAAGGGTAAATTATATTTTGGCAATTCAAAAATATTTTCTTTAAAGATTTCTTTGTTGGATAACTAATTTCTCCAGATTGCAGAACTTTTACTTGTCTGTAGAAATTCTTTGTGGTGCAAAAAATACACACAAAAATTCACAAAATAAAAAGGTGCTGGCTATGCTTTAAGACAGATCAAATGAGTGCTAACAGGGTTTGATTAGCACCTATGTGAAATTCATCTTATTCTCAGATTGCCCTATTTATCATCATTCAATCAGGAAGCCATTTGTTTCTTAAAAGCAGCTTTTCTTTATGCCTTTTTAAATGGAATGTATTCCTTTATCTGTCTGTCTGTCTGTCTGTCTGTCTGTCTGTCTGTCTGTGTGTTTGCAGCTGCTGTCCCTCAGGCCTTCTGTCAGGACAGGTTCTGCAGTGCTCATGAGTTCTGTGGTGAGAAGAACTATGGTGGGGAACCTCACTGCCTCTGTCGGGCCATTTTTGCCTCCAAGTACAGATCAATGAGCACTTTTGGTGAGTCAGCTATGACGCAAGAACATCACAGTTGTTTCAACTTCTTTTTCCACTGACCTCACATCGTTTAATTGAAAGTTACATTGGTTATTGCTGTCTTTTTCCATTAAACTCATTAGGGTGAGTATATAATCACCTGAAGATAATGAAAATCGTTATGTTTTTATTACCTATTTGAACCACCGTAAAAACTAGCTTTTATTTTCTTATATTTAACTCAATTCAATTTAATTTTATTTTATTTGTATAGCGCCAATTCATAACAGAAGTTATTTCAGGAAACTTTTCAAATAGAGCAGGTTGAGACCGAACTCCTTGAACCAGTGAACAAGCACTTGGCAACGGGGGCAAGGAAAAACTGCCTTTTAAGAGGCAGAAACCTAGGACAGACCCTTCGGCTCTAGGTGGGTCGACCAGTTGGGGTGAGAGAGAGAGAGAGAGAGAGAGAGACTGAGAGAGACAGAGACAGAGACAGAGACAGACAGACAGTTGCACAGCAACAACAGTAGAAACAACTACACTAATAGTAGTGACTGATGATGATGAACATGAAAAAGATGATGACGACGACAACAACGATGGGGGACAATGAGCAGTGATAATATTAATAACAGTAACTGTAGTAATAATAATATTAATATTAATAATAACAATAATATCAGTGATATAAGCAATCGCAGCCTATAGCTGACAGACAAGTATTTATTTGACTTGCACCATAACTTCACTGGGCCATATGTAGAGCTTTGGCACAAAACAATTATAATTATGAGTTATTAATCTTCCCAATCTTCTTTCATGCATATAATAAGAATTAATTTATTTAAAAGAAATCAATGTTAAAATACACAAAACTCTCAAAGAGTCCTTTAAAGGACCAGTGTGTACAGTTAAGGAGCCTCTATCGGTGTAATTGCAGATTGCAAGACTTTCGCCTCACCGTCCCTATCCAAGCATGAAGCAAAAACTATGATAGCCGCAAAAATCACAAAAATGTTAACGACCCTACCTAGAGGCAGTATTTGAGTTTGTATGCTCTGGGCAATTTGTGAATATGGAAGGCGACCGGTGGCATCTGTAGATAAATTATAATTGGAAGTCATTTGGACAAAAGCTAAGTTAAAATAATGTTTTGTAATGGGTTTTCAGGTGAGCCGACGGTCTGCGGGCAGACATCTGCTTCGGTAATTCTGGCTAATTGTCTCTTGGAGGAGCAAAGCATCAACTACTCCGTCTTACACCTCAATGACCAGGCCTGCAAAGGTGAAATGGACAACCTGACCCACATGGTGACGTTCACCTTCGACAGTAGCAGCAACACTTGCGGTGCAGTGGTCATGGTAGGTACTCTCCTTTAGTTAGTTACGAAATAAAATGAATAAACTGTTAGGTGAACCTGAATGTGCAGTAACAATGTCCATGCCCATGTGACCATTTAGGTAAACAAAACCCACATTACCTACAAGAACACCATCATGACACAGAACTTCTCCACGTTTGGCTTTATCAACCGTAACGCCAAAGTGCATATGGACTTCTCCTGTTATTACAGTCAGCCGAATATCAGTAACTTGGCCATCAAACTAAAACACAGGTGTGTGGTGGGGGAACAGTACTGTATGTAATTCCAGAGTTGTCCCCTTTCTGTTACTAAGAGAAGGTTGAATGAGCTTCACTGTGTGCAGAATGAAGCCTAGCATATTTAAGAAGCTGTCCTTGCTTTCCAGCGCTGTGATCCAGCAGATTACTTCTGGAGAATGGAATTACAATCTGACCATGAAGGCTTACACAGACTCCGAGCGCTTGGAAGCTATCGAGCCAGGCACCGACATTCAACTGGATGAGACAATCTGGGTGGAGTTGAAGACAGACGGGCTGGATGAAAACTTGGTCCTTTTGGTGACTGACTCTTGCTGGGCAACTGATCAGCCTTCGCCAAATGGAACCCTGAGATATAACATCATCATCAATGGGTAAGACACACAGAGATGCTCATAGTGATTAAACCTGTGTTTGTTGTGGCTGGCCTGTCATGTCTGCTTTCCTGTTTTTGAGCAGCTGTCCTAACCCTGCTGACCAGACGGTGAAAGCAGAGGGCAATGGACTGAGAACGTCCAACTACTTCGCTTTCAACTCATTCCAGTTCTCTGGCAAGACTGGTGACGTCTACCTGCACTGCAAAGTTGAGCTGTGTGTCAGGCAGGGTAACACCTGTGCACCGGTATGCCCATTTCCCTAATAAATTCACTAACCATAAAACTTAACAGTTTCTATTTGGCAGGCTCCCAAATAGATGCAGGCCTCCTTTAATAGCGTGGTGTGGCTACACATTTTAACAAATAAACGCCAGTCTCCAAAAGAGGCCTGATCTCGATTTTATGAAAATTTTCTGGATGAATAAAACTAAAACGTTTAAGCCATTTAGCTTGCCTACACAAATATAAATGTTTAAACTTTTGTCAATATGGACTGATCTCACAATATGTAGCATTCATTAAATCAGTTAGATTCTCCACAATTAAATTATTTGGTTAACTTTATCGAAACTATGAGCATATAAGTACAATTCATTCAGACCTACCAGCACTGTTAACAAGAGAGACTCCCAAGTGGTTATAAAGTCTGTACCATACGGTTTGTGTCCATTTTTCCATTATTTAAATTCCTTAGTCTGTAAGGGTCCATGATCAACAGAATCAAAGGGGTTTCATTAAAATTAATCCGCATTGTGAATATTATCATGTGAAGTCTGTTGCTCACTTGTACACTGGCTGCTGTAGATCTTTTGCTGCCATAAAATGCATTCACATTCAAGTGTCATGGCAGCGGCACAGAGAAAAAGTATGACCTGAAAATTACCATAAGATGTGTCAGGAGGGTGAGTTCAGTGACATAAGTGCCGTTTTACACATGTCATTTTTTTAAAAAGAATATAAGCAAGATTTTTTTTACTGAGCATCAGGTATGGATCACTGTTTGGCCTCAGAAACCGCTGCTGACCCGACCCTAAAACTAAATTTGTGTGTTCATCAACCACCTCCCAGAGCTGCAGCCAGGCTGAAAGAAGGCGCAGATCTGCCATGTCAAAATCTGAGGATGAAAACCCTGTATTCATCACCATGGCCTGGACTTCTTAGGTAAGTGCAACTCTCCTGCTGAGTAATGACATCAGTGCAGATTTACAGATCATCAATGTCTTGGGAAAACCATTTATTTGGATGGATTTTTAAATGGTTTATTTAGCTTAAAGAGTAGGGTAAGAGTAGGTAACGTATCAGCCAAATACGTAATCACTAGGGCTGCCCCCAAATAGTCAACTATGTTAGTCAGTGAGAACAGTCAAATCGCTTTTCATTAGTATGATAGTCGCAGAAAAACAAAAATAACATCAAACTCAGGGGATTGTTGCAACACAGACCTTTTCTCTCTTGTAGCGCAGGAAGTCACCTACCAGTACACTGCTGCATGTACTAACTGTAACCTACCAACTGCCATTAGCTACTTAGCGGTCCTATTAGCTGACTCTACCCAGACTGTTGACCTGAATAATGGGGGTTTGTCTACATTACCAGCACTGAAGCTTTGGGCTGCCAGGGGGGAAAGATGCTGGGCAGTAAGTCCGGAATGAGCACCAGAATCAAGTCCGGGCAAGCAGGGCTAAAAGCCTGTGAAACCGATGGCCAGGTGATTTACAGGGGCTTTCTCGGGCCCCTGTACCAGCCCCTAACTCCAGCGGTTGATGAAGACATGGAGAGTTCAAGCGGAGATAGGAGAGGTGTGAAGCAGGAGATGAGTTAGTTTGTAGGGAGTGAATTTGTGAAGTAAATAAGTCAGGGAGTATTTGTTTTTGTGAAGTTATTTATTCTGTGTTTTAAACAGTGTGATTTGTGTAGTGTTATACTGTGTTGAAATAAATTAAGTGTTCAGTCTGCTGGTTGTTTCACTCATTCAGAATTACCGCTTTTTCCATAAAAGAAAGGAAAATATAAATGAATATCAACATGCAATAACTAGCCCTACTTATCACCAAAAATAATTGATTCCAGCCATTTTTCATTTGACTGCTGTTTTGGAGAAGACACATCTGTGTTATGTAGGGATAAACAATTAACCATTACTTGGATTTGGTCTTCTTAGGTTTCCATAAAGATTTGGACTGACCAACGAGCCCAAGACCCAAGATGATTCCTGGTTGGCTTTGTCCTAATGAAGAGCCTGGGATCAGTTATCACTGCTATTAATATTTGCTAGCACATATAGTCGTACATACACACACACACACACACACACACACACACACACACACACACACACTTATCTTTCTCTGGCAGTAATTGTGTTTGACCTTTTTTTGGGTTTCTGTTGTGGTTTCTCCTGAGATGGTGAAAAATATTTCTGAAATATTGAAAATTTGATTAGCATTAACTGTGAGCCAGAAAGAAATCAGTAGCAAATATTTGTAAACACATAAACATGGATGCTGTTGTATGTTTCAGTGGAATATGTGGCTTTCTTAGTCATTTACAGATTATAGGGAAAACATTAGACATTCGACGTTTATCGTATAAGGTTTTTGTAAGGATTTATATCAATAATGGGAGCAGTCCCATCATGTTCCTGGTTTTGTTGTGAATGTTGGAAACCAAAAAGGACTGAATTTTCAGGGGTTTTTTTGGTGTTTGCAAGCATTCTGACCAGGTCTACACAGATTGAAGGGTTGTGCAAACAAAGTGGGAATCATTTAACATTGCTACTTCCAGTGTTTGGCCTCAACAAAACCAAAACATGCTGTATGCTTTATCTACCTTCATTATTATAGCGTAGAATCAATAAAAAGCATAAATGCATTAGAGAATTACATGAACTTTGTATTTTTTTCAATAACTCATTCACAGGCCTATTGTCTTCCTTATAGTTATTTATATGGATACGCCGATTGAGAAATTCTGGGCCGATACTAATGTTTTATGTTGTTTATTCTCCTTTTTGTGCCAGGTAAACAAAGAAATCTACAAAGAAAAGCATCTCTGCCTAGTTGCAGCTCAGTCTATTTCTCTTCTCATCCAAGATGTGAGAAATTTAAGCATAGAGATTTCATCTTTCACTGTTTGATTGAGCATAGTTCACCAAAACCGACAAGCGTTCTTTAGTTACATTTAGGGCCCTATTTTCATGGTGGCACAAGAAGCAACACCATGAACTTTGATTGGCCCGTCTCTCTAGTATTTTCAACCACAGTACACAGGTGGGAAGAGAAGAGCAAACAGGAGGGAGCTTACTTCAAATGAGGCAGTGAAAACCAAATTTTAATTTTGTATTTGGCACAATGGCACAATGTCAGTCTGTTGCCAATCTGATGATTTTGTCCACAATATCAAAGTAAATACATGGAGCAAATGTGCAGATATGTTTAAAACGTGAATAACAATTTTACTTTATTACTTTAATCACCAAATACTAAATGTGTTTAAATACTGCTTAGCACTTAATGTGGTTAAAGCTGGAACATCGGGAAGGGTTTCTTCTGTGGAAATCACAGGCTTCTGCTCACAAAATCTTCTACTTCCTTTCTGCACTAGAAAGTGATGCAAAACCACTACTACACAGTAGTAGGTGCTAAACTACATAAAAAAACAGAAAGTATTTAGAAATCATAAAAACATTTCTTAAAAAGCACAATACTTCTTTTACAAAGATATACTAAAAGAGCTTGGCCAAAATGATTGGTGCTCTTTAGAAGTTGTAAGACATCATTGATTTGTAGTGTTACTTTAAGCAGACTATTGTGTTTTCATAAGTATCAGAGGTGTTTCAAGTCTTATAATCAATCATGCAGCCAGTTTAAACAGAGAAAAAGACTTTGCTTTTTTGTGCCACTATGTACATCACATTGAACATGGAAAACAGAAGGAAAAGCCCAGAGAGGCCTAAAGATTAGATTATGAAGAAGGTAATGGCGAAGCATGGTCGACATACATCTTACAAGACAGTCTTGAAAGAGCTTGATGTTCCTGTGACCTCTGTTGTCAATATCATTCGGCAGTTTAAGGCCCATGGGACTGTAGCCAACATCTCTCATTGTCGCTAGAGGAAAATTGGACCGAGATGTCAGAGAAGGATTGCTAGAAAGGCTGAGAAAAAAGACAAAACTCCAAAATCCAACTGATGTTCAAGTCCATGTGACAATAGTTTCAAGTTGCATTATTGGCTGTCCAACCAAAATGACAGGTGCACTTTAAAACTATGGGCTGATTTTTGTGTCAGTAGAAACTGAATCTGAATTGCTCAACTTGAATATTTGCATGAAATAACTGAATTTGAATTGCATAATTTGAATTTGTATTGTTAAACTTGAATAACTGTATTGAAAAACTGAATCTGAATAGCATAATTTGAATTTGAATTTATTAGTTTGAAACTGAATTTGAGCCTCACTAAAAATTCAACTTTTTATGTACTTTCAAATTCAGTTCTTTAAATTCAAATTCAGCTCTCTAAATTCAAATGTTGTAATCTCAACTCGATTTCAAACCACTAGATTACACTTTTAAGGTCACAGACGGGTCAAGGTGTTCAGTAAGAGCAATCGAGTGCAGATGCACAGAGCTTCTTTTTGGCTAAGCAGCACGTTTGCTTTGACCATTTCCTGGACCTGTAGACATTGGCTAGCGAAAAACATATCATAATTGTATTTTTTATTTTTTTGGTTTCGTGTGTGAACCACTTCGTGTCGGACTGTTTTCACAACCTCGGTCAGTACAACACTGGACTGGCTGAAAGACTGTTCCTGAAAGAGGGATTGTACCAACTGTCTGTGGAGAGACGGCAGAGGAAGTCACTGGAAGTATTTTTAATTTTAATTTTGTCTGTGTGCTGCTGTATGTAAATGTACCGGAGGTAAAGATAGAGCTACCGTGAGAGAGAAATAGTCAAACTGTGATCAAGCCTCCTTAGAAGCTAACAAAATACAGGGAGTAAGTTATGGTGATTATTGTTCATGATGCTTCTTGTGTAACTTTGTACTGACTTGCTCACGTTATCTCAGCTAGTGTTAGCTTTGTTGCTTCTGCTCCTGTAAAGTTGAGGTAAAGCTTGCAATAAAACCCATGTAATAGGCAGGTTAATAGTCTTTGTAAATATATAGAGGATGCAAAAACTGACTGTGTTGTTCAAATTCATGAAAACTGAAGTATTTTCATATGTATTCAGAGCATTTGTTATAGTTTTCAGACTTAAACTTGGTGCATCCTGTTATCTTTGATGATCCTTTAGGGGGTCCAGCTGCAAATTTAATTTAATGGTCATGATTTAAGATAAGATGAAGATTTTTAATCCCAAAGAAAAGGGTAGAAAGGCTCACATCGGCAGAGAGACTAATAAAGTTATTGTACAGATGGAGGAGGGACATCCTAGACCCCTAGCAGGATGAAATCTGAGAGTAGGGACAAAAGAGGTAGATAACTCATATAACTAATGAACTTAAGCCATTAAGCGGCCAGAGCTCAGCAACGTCTCTCCTCTCTCTGGTGATGGCACTGGAGGGAACTGAAGTTTGCTTTCCACAACTCCTCAACTCCTCCTGCAGGAAGCCGGAACCTCCTCACACTGACACTGTGCTGATTTACATTCTGCTGTCCTCCATCGCTCTGCTCACTGCAGTTCTCAACCTGCTGGTCATCATCTCTATCTCCCACTTCAGGCACGTAACCATACACAACATACAGTAAAATGTTTTTACATTGTCTTTAGATATGAAGGAAACAGTGTATTCAGACTTGCCCGTATACAGTAAGCTATGTGGTAGCCAATGTTCATTACATCCTGGATACTGGTCTAATGTTTATTTTTATATACTGTGGTTTTTATATATTGCTTTTAGCACAGCTATTGGTGATTGTGTTTACAGCTACTATTCTCTCACTGCAGGCAGCTCCACACCCCCACCAACTTCCTCCTCCTTTCTCTGGCTGTCTCAGATTTCCTTGTGGGTGCTCTGCTGATACCAGTTGAAATACTCCTAAAAGAGACCTGCTGGATCCTGGGTGACCTCATGTGTTCTCTATATTACATGTTACCTGTCATCATAATCACTGCCTCCGTAGGAAACATGGTAATCATATCAGTTGACCGCTATGTGGCCATTTGTGACCCTCTGCATTACTCCATCAAAGTCACTCAAAAAAGGGGGAGAGTCTGTGTTTTCCTTTGTTGGATTTGTTCTTTTCTCTATAGCATTATCCTTTTATATGATAACTTAAAGCAACCAGGCAGGTATAAATCCTGCGAAGGGGAATGTGTGGTCAGCATGACAGGAGCTGTCGATCTTGTTGTCAGCTTCATCATTCCCATTTCTGTCATCATAATTCTGTACATGAGAGTTTTTGTGGTGGCTGTGTCTCAGGCTCGTGCCATGAAGTCCCACATTGCGACTGTCTCACTCAAGCGTTCAAAGACTGTGAAAGCTAAGAAATCTGAGATAAAAGCAGCCAGGACACTTGGTGTTCTGATAGTCATTTTTCTGCTCTGTTACTGTCCATATTACTGCGTGTCTCTCACTGGCCTTGGCATATTGATCGGTTCTACAACTGAGGTCTTTATGATTTTTCTGATGTATTTTAACTCCTGTCTAAACCCAATCATCTATGCCCTTTTCTACCCCTGGTTTAAAAAAGCTATTAAGCTTATTGTTACATTTCAGATATTACAGCCTGACTCCTATGATGCCAACATACTGTAATGAGACAATGATAAGTGAAAATATTGCTCTATGTTTGTATACTAATACAGTGGTTCCCAACCTGGGGGTCAAAAACTAGGGGTCACTTAAGCTTCATAAAGGGTTTTCTTGAGTTTTAAGGGGTGTGAGAAAACTTTAGAATTATTCAAAGTCGGCCTATATATCTGGATTTCATTAAATTCTCTGAAGAATAGCACATGCTATTTTCACAGAGCCTTCACTCTCTGATATGCTTACATATACACCAATCAGCCATAACATTGTGAGCACTAACAGGTAAGGGAATAACACTGATTATCTGGTTTTCATGACTCCTGTCAGTGGGTGGGATGTATAAGGCAGAAAGTCAACATTTTGTCCTCACACCGATGTGTTACAAGCAGGAAAAATGTGCAGTGTGAGGATTTGAGCTACTCTGACAAGGGCCAAATTGTGATGGCTAGACGACTGGGTCTCCATCTTGTCCTGAGCCAGAGAATCTAGGATGTATCTTTTACACCGCACATTAGGTTTTAGAAAGACTGTACCCAGGTATGTTTGACAATTCTATTACTAATGTGAACATTAAACAATACTTAAATAAAAGACACTAGACTATGGTGATGATCAGTTTCTATGTTTTTTGTATGGTGCATATTTGAAAAGACATTTGCAAGGTTATTGTAGTTAATTGAAACTAAAACTAAAAAAACATTCTAGTTGTCTGAAACAGAAATAAAAACTAGACTTTAGAAAACAACAAAAACTAACCAACACAATATTGTGCACTTACAGAACTAAAACTAACACAGAAACTAATAAAATAAAATAAAAAATGAAACCTAAAACTAACATGAACTGCAACTAAACTGAATAAAAAATAATGAAAAATACAAGCACTTGGGGACCATGGCAAGGAAAAACTGCCTGTTAAAAGGCAGAAACCTAGGACAGATCCTTCGGCTCTAGGTGGGTGGTCGTCTGTCTCGACCAGTTGGGGTGAGAGAGAGAGAGACAGACAGACAGACAGACAGACAGACAGACAGACAGACAGGTGCACAGCAGTCAATCATTAATCAGTTCAAAAATATATATTGACTGAAATCAGAATATGTATTGCCACTATATCAATAACTTCCATTCAATCAAAAAAGACCCTTTATACCTTTTATATTATTCCTTCCAAGTATAACATTCATTACATGAGTCTGGACAGACATGGACGTAAACTGCTACTTGACAGGCATACATTTGCATGGCAGCAACGCTAGTTTTAAACAGGCTCCCAGTTCCACACAGTACCACAGTGCTTCCATTCAATATACACGTGACATATCATGTAAAGGGTGCACAAATAAGAAGATTCTAGACATTGAAAACCATCAATCACATAACAAACATAAAACATGGGATTAAGAACATTTCATACCAAGAGCTTCCATTCTTTCTGCAGTATTATCAGAAGCATTGGTTGCTTTATTATTAAATTACACTGCTGCTCAGGTTTTTTTTTTTTCAGCAAGTGGTCTTTCACTGCAGTCTGTCACACACTGAAATCACATGTCCACCTTGGCAGTGGTGGAAGAAGTATTCAGATGCTTTACTTAAAGCGACTGTGATAGTTTTATGATAACAATTTAACAAATGACAATGTGAAACAGTTTGACAGTGTCAAAGTGGGGTTGCTTGTGGTGATAAACCTAACGAGAATTATCGGTGAATCCGGAGCCTCCCCATGGCTTTACAGAGCTCTATAGCAAGTTTTTTTTTTTTTTCTGGCTGCCTCTTTACTATTTTGATTCCTTCTCACTGGTCTCAAGGCATAATTTCTACTCAGAACAGGCAGCTGTTTTCAGCGAAAGAGGGCTAAAAACCCACTGTCACTGCAGCTAACTTTTCCATTTAGTTGAATATCGCTTAAGTTCAGCAGCTTGTTGGGTCAAATTTAGTTGGTCTTCACCTTCCCCCAGAAATCTGTTAATTTCAGAGACTGTTTTCCTGCCTTTTAGTGAGTTTATTGAGTATTTGTTTCCAAAATGGGGACTGGGGGAAGGGGGCATTGAAAAATGGCACCATCAGGAGATTCTGATTGGCAAGTAGCTACATTTACAAACAGTAACATTGTATTAAAAGTAATATGACAGTGAATCCTGCAAGATACTTTTGAAAACAATTTACATTTTATTAAACTAAATTGCCAGCCTAGAGAGGGAAGCTGAATTATTTTGTTTGGTTATTCAGCTAAATTAAGCTGTGTTATAAATAAGATCTCAGGTTCTAGGTTCGACTCTAGGTTCACACTATTGGGGAGCCTGATTAATCTAACCCATCCACTCTTAATCACATTAAAGGTCAGTGTGTAGGATTCAGTGACATCTAGTGGTGTAATTTTAGACTGTAACTCTGTCACTTCTTCCCCTTCCTAGTGTTTAGGAGAAACTACGCTGCCCATGAAATAGGCAGAAAACACGAACGTCCCTGTCTGAACCAAGTGTGAGCCTACTGTGACCCATTGGTTTGTGAAGTACTATTTTGAAGCCTTAAGTTTGGCGTTTTGCTCGCTGCCATGACAGCAATACGGAGCCAGCGGATGTGTGTGGCTGAGCAGTTTTGACTCATAAACCGTTCACTAAAATATGTTTCTGAAACAATTTTAATGTTTTTAGGCAACGCAGTAACAGAATCTAGCTTCATATTTGATCAGCATTGCCTAGTTTGACAGTTTCATCTGAGTTGGTGCGCTGTGCTGGACAGACTCACTGAGACTGACCTGTCAATCAAAATGTAGCCCACCCAAAAGCATACCCGGCTTTATCATCTATTTTATTCTAAATTGGACTAAATAATTTACTGAATGAACATCATATTGTATTGAAGACAATGTTACACTAGCGACTGAGACCCTAAACACATCAGGAAACTGTTTACTGAGCTCATAAAGGAGTCAAGTCGGCTTATTCTCCATTAAAGTGAATGATATCGGTGTGTTATTGCAACCAACGGAGCTCCCCCTGCTGAAATTTACATAGAATGCAGGTTTTTTCACTTTTCAGACCCGGAAGCTCTCTCCATTATATATTCTGTCAATGGTCTAAACCCAGTGTTTGGTTTGTCCCTTCTGGGCTACTGCAGAAACATGCTGGTTCAACATGGAACGGAAGGGGACCCACGGCGTTCATTCTGTAGATAAAAACGACTCATTCTAAGGAAAAAATCATGCAAAAAAGTGTTTCTTTGTTGTTGTTCACTTCTGGGCTACTGCAGAAACATGGCAGTCAATGGAAGGTGACCTGGCATCTGGAGATAATGATAATGATTCTTATTTCAAAGTGATTATAGACTAATGAAAACATACCTATAAATATTATATTCCATTTCTGCCATAGATTCTCCTGAATGGACCTCCCACTAGACCTTTAAATATTAAATGGTATCTTTTATGAACATTTTTGTGAGTTTGTCAACTTCACATACATGTGAAGTTGAAGAGCAAAGTGAAGCAGAACTCTATAAACTGTACGTGTTGGTGTTTTTTGATTTTGGTATGTGTGTGTGCCTCTGTCTTAGACACACAAACTGTGTGGTTTGAACTCTGGGAAGAAAAGCCTGATGTCCAGACTCACATCAGACTGAATTTTGTGCATAGAGTGAGAGGTGGGTATGTTTGCGACCGGAAGTGAGGGTGTCCTGCCCAGTTCCTCAGAAAGCGTAAAAATCCAGTGAGAATGTGCCATTAGGAAAAAATAAATAAACAGCCAGCTGAAATCCATCACTCGCTGTCCACAGCTATATATCTGCGTGTTACTGTAAGGTTTTTCAGAATATAGTTTTATAAAAGTCTTTATTATTATGTTTTTCAGGAATGCGTTCCAGGACATGATGCGTATAATAAAGCTATGATTTAAGGTTAGGACTATTTTTGGATTGAGACAGCACCTTTCTGTTTGTACTGAATTTATATTTTCAAGTTATATTTACAGTATTAGTGGATGCTGTAGTGGACTCAAATGTACATAACAACCAGCTGATCAGTGTTTTTCAGATTGGAAATACACATTCATTGTACATAACCTCAGAGGGTGTTGTGGCCATAAGCAGCTCCCAAAGAATTAACACAAACAAACACACACATACACAAACAACAATTTAATTTGTCTCTGGGCACTGAAGAGGTCTCAGTGTGATGCTCATTATCAGCTCCTGTTGGATATCTACCTCTCTGGCAAAGAAAGTTTTCACACCTGCCTTCATTAGCATCAAATTATGACATCACTGCAATCAAAGGTGTGAAAAACATCATCTCCAACATAATGCAGCATCAAAACATGATGCAATCATTGCCTAGGAAACGAATGATTCATCAACATAAACAGACACTTTTGTTTAGATGAGATCATGACCCTTAAACCTTTGTGATGCAACCTCATGAGTGTCAAAGCACATGATGCAATCATTGCTTCAAGGGGCAATTCATCCAAATCAACTTTCTCAATGTCATTCAGCTTTCCATGAGAGGGAGAGAGAATTCTGTCCTAGGCACACTATGTAGCACTCCACTGGTGGGAGGATCCAATACGAAGCAAGCAGTAGTAGTAGTTCCAGGGAATAATAATCATTACACTGAAATATGTATTATTTGTCATTAAAATAATGGTTGTGGTAATGTATTAGGGCCCCCCACAGATGTATGATTTTGCTGTCATGGAACTGAGACCCCTCCTTATGGCAACTCAGCTCCCACTGCCTCCCATGTAACTTGAACCCTGCATACAGTACAGGAACAGTTTCCAGTATGCATCAGTCTGAGACCACCACACAAAAGAGTGGATGGCTCACTCCAGGGGCCAGATGCTTAAAGGATGTGTACACAAAAAAACCAGGCATACAAACAGTTTTCAAGAGATAACTGTAGGTTATATGATGAGGTGGACATAGGAGGTTTGTCCGTTCTGGGCTACTTTAGAAACATGGTGGTTCAACATGGCAGACTCCATGGAAGCCAGTTTGTGGTTTCTATTCCTGTCTTTGTGCATACACACAGTTTTAGTTGTGACTTTATTCAGAGTTTTATGCAACTGGCCCCCGGTTGGGAGTGAGGTGCTGCCCCATGTGAAGGAGTCGAGTATCGTGGGGTCTTGTTCATAAGTCTGGGTAAGAAGAGCACCTCATTGTCGGTAATCCTCACATTGTACCCGACTGCTGTGGTGAAGAAGAAGCTGAGCCATAAGGCAAAGCCCTTGATTTAATCGATCTAGTCGATCTACAGTACGTTCCAATATCCAACTTTTGTCTTGAGCTTTGGAAAGTGACTGTAACAGTGAGCTGAGTAAAGATAATTAATAAAGATAATAAGATTTATGCAAAGAAACCACTAAGAAGCAATTTACAGAAATTGGTGACATTTATCAGAGTTGATGGTTTAAAACATATACAATTAATTAACAACTACTGAGATGCCTTTAAAATATTTGTTTGCCTATGCTGGTTTTCTTCTCTAGTCTATGGCATTATCCACCTGAACCAAGCAGGCATCATTCCTGGCATGGAAAATGTGTCAACAGCAGCTTTATTATACTATACATATCAGTAAAATGTTGACTGACAATGTATTCCACCTAAA